TATATATATATATGTATATATATATATATATATATGTATATATATATATGTATATATATGTATATATATAAATTTTTTAGAAACCCTTCACATGCTCTTGCAATATTCTAAATTTTTAAACCTACGTAATTTTAACAACATATGTACAGTACTGTATATGTACCATATTTTTTGCCCTATAAGTCACAGTTTTTTATATAATTTACAAGCACTGCGACTTATACGCCAAAACGACATATTGATGGATGTTTTCCCATATTTATAAAACGATTTTTGGCTGAGATATGACCGTTTTCATTCATTCTGACTGAAAATATTGGACACTACCATTTTCAGCTGCTAGATGACACTCAAATAGTAAGGCATTCCGTTGTATCATGTAATAGGTAAAAGTGGCTATTAATTACACAGTTGGCTTCCCCATAGCCTGCCACCGTCGTCTGCCTGGAGCAACCATCAAATCAGCTTCATTTAGCTGCGCCGCCTCGGTGAAATGCAGCTGATTTGACCATCAAAGTGCGTTTATTAAGAAAAAGTTAGACTGAGACACACCTTTGCTATAATGTCGAGCAAACAAATAATTGTTTTTAGGTGTTTTTCTTGTTAAATTCTTGTTAAAGTCTTCCCGTGCACGCTCCCGCAGCCACCATTTGGCAGCCCATCGATTTTTGTCACAACACCGGCCCACATTTCCGGGTCTGGCCCATATTTCCAGGTTCTGCCCACATTTTTTCTTGTTGTCAGCAGTGACGCGTAACAAACGTGACACGTCAGATGTGACGCATAACAGATGTGACGTATATGGCGAAGCGACATATTTATGGATTTTTCCACTTTATTAGACATTTTTTGGACCGATGCAACTTATAGGGCGGAGCGATGTGTACGGCGGAAAATACGGTAGCTACTAAATTTTACTCACCAGATCTGCAGAACAGCAGCAGTTCTCGGTTCCGGTCTGACTCGGTTCCGTTTCTGCAGACCTGCAGTCACGAAGCCCACAATCAATGTTCTAAACTCTTAAACCTACTCATTTAAACAACTTACGTATATGTAGCTACTAAATTTTACTTACCAGCTCGGCAGAAAAGCAGCAGCTTGGTTCCTCTCCGACTTGGTTCTGTTTTGGCGGCAGACCTACCCTGCCGATTCTGGTTGGCTCTCTGACTCAGGATACAATTGTGTGTCGTGTACTGTACTGCACTGTACAATTTTAAAAAAATAATAATAATTTGTTGACAAACTGCGATAGAGTGAGTCGGCGGAAGTCAAACTGCGAAGTAGCAAGGGACAACTGTACTACGATCATCTGATCTCAGTTTCTCTCTAAAACGTTCCTGTATCTGACGTGTTAATGTTGCCATGAGATAACTGTAAAGAGGTTACACGAGTTGATGCCAACAAACCCTGCAGAAAAATCCAGTAATGGCTTCACGCACAAAGAGCTAAATGAATGGGAATGGATTCATTGATTTCCCAGTTGTCCAGCGGCAGCGATGTATTGATAGCCGTTTTACAGACGTTGGCTAATAAATTAAAAATAAAGTTCTATATTTTGTGACAACTTCCTCGGTGTGGTTTTTCTCTCAGCCTGTTCAGCTGGATTAATGTTGACTCTGTGCTGTGGGTTATTAGAAGATCAGAATGATCAATTGTGTCTGTGCGTTTAAACTCGAGTAAAGACGCTTTTTATTTATTTTTAGGAAAGTTGGAGAAGGACAGAGCAGCACATAGTCACAAAATGCAACCCAACTTACACCACATCTTTTAGCTTTGCTGTGCTTATTTTTAATCTTGTATTATTTATTTTACTCCAGCTTTTGGGACCGGAGTTGTGAACATTGCATCACATTTCTGTTATTTTCAGTTTGCTTAATGTGTTCCTTCCAGCCTGATCTAACCGTTTACTTTTGGATTTTGGATACTTTTGGATTGATGCAGAGATTCTTATATTTTAACGTGTAAAACATCTCCACGGTAACAAAAAAGAGAAAAATGATAACACACAAGGTATTAAATAGCCTTATTTAAACATATTAGCTGCACAGTGGGGGAAAATCTAAATATAAGCCAGGAAATGGGTGAATCCAGTTTGTAAAGCTAAACCGTACCCCTCCCTCCAACACACACGCACAGTGTTTTATCAGTTAATCTGCAGAGACAGTAATGCAATAATCCATGCACTGTTAAAGGGCTTTTATCCTTCCAGCTCCACACAGTCCTGAGAATCCAGAGAGGCAGCGATCAGCGTGTTGCTGCTCACAGATAATGGCCTTTATGCTGTCAATTCTAAACCAGACATTAAGAAGAAGCGTCCTGATGGGAGCTGGAACCATTAACGTGGAGCACCAGACCTCTGATGGGTACAGCTTTTAGAAAGTTTGCGTGCACATTTTTTACTCCTTGTGTCTGCAGGTTTTCTTGAACACCTCCTGCTGCCATAGAGGCCTCGGTTTTAAAGCCAAAGCCCCAGGGGCCTTTTTTGACCCAAGGACAATCAAAAATTATTATTCTGTAGACAGCATCACACCAAGCGCTCTGCAACCTCTCCACTGACAGGTGCAATCGTTTGTATCCACAACCTCTGCATAAAAACAGGTTTTCAGGTTTGACCTACAGCCAGCTTGTCCTCTGTCCTATTAGTGCTGTGCACACAAAGGCATGTGCACCATTAACCCCAGGTTCATATTGAAGAGAGAGACACACGGACACCCACAGCTTACTCCTGAGGCACATCGTGATTCTTTTTCCAGATGAGATTTAATTGCTGATCCAGCTGTCAATCATGGCATAAAGATTTACCTGAACCACTTATTGACTTCTCACCGGTCAGTTTAAGGCAGATGACTTTACAAAGTTTATTTATTGTTGACTGTCAATCCATGAAATTGGCAAACAGGGCACTAAAATAAATGATGTCCACTCCTACATGGAATGTGCTCTTCCATCTCATATTGCTGACCTGCCTGCAGCCCAGACATTGATTTATAGCTTCTTTCTCCATGCTCCATTAACTGCCACACTGTCTTCGATGTGATGTGCTATTTTGTGTAACCAAAGACATTTGGCCATCAGTTCTCTCCTCTCCACACTCAGGTCTCTCTTAAGTGATCGTCCACCAGGGGCAATACTAGAATCTGACCTATAGGGGTGCTTCACCCCCCAGTGATGACAATGTCTCTTGGCTTGAACAATGCAGTGGCCATTGGCGTCAGAAGCATTTGTAATGTGGGGTGGACACATTGATGGGGTGTCTGGGGTTCCTCCCCCATAAAATTTTGAATAAAATAGATGCCATTCCTGCATTCTGGTGTATTTTAACAGGTTTTTAAACATCTATGTTTACCTACATAAGTAAACACTTGATTCAATAATTATTTTAGAGTTAATGGCACAACAAGAAGTAGCGCTAAGCTAGTGGCATGCAATACAGACACGCTAGTTAAGATGCTATGAACGTAGTGCTCCGTTTTACATCACACAACCTAATAAATGCTTTGTGCAAAATCAGTTTAGTGTTAACTGCTCTGATAAAAAAAAAAAATGGAGGATTTACCTGCAGTTACCTTCGTACAGATGAACATGTGGTACTTCCTGTTTATCACTGTTGTATTCAGCTGATCATGAGGTCGGCCACAGGGCTTTATCATCTTTTACATTTTTCCAGAGTCAGTTTACGTTTTGAAAATGGAATAAACTGTATTCCACCCTCTAAACGCTCAGGATAATGCTGTCTGAATTACATGTTCCCCACTGACAATGTTTAACCTTTTTTTTCCTGATGATTTTTCATGAAAGCCCTCTGACTGCAAAGAGTTCATAATGTAAAACACATACAGTGTTTTTGGAGGAAAAAGGGGTGGAGCTCCTGTGGGTAAGGGGCGTTTATCTTCGGGACAAATTGAGGTCGCTGATTGGTCAGTTGCTGACAAGCCTGCTGGATTGATTGACAGACAGGTAGTGTTGAGGATCCGACTTATGCAAAAAAATATATATATAAATCATAGATTTTACTGGCCCGTTTGTGTCATTTATTCCATATAATTCCAAATGTATTCAATATTTTGGTGCATTTAATGTTTGAGAACTGAGTTTCCTTACAAAATCCTAATGATGGTTTATTTTTCAGGGGTGCTGAGATCAAATTTAAGGGTGCTTGAGCACCCCCCAAAAAGAGGCTCAAGTTGCCACTGTCGTCCACCTACAACAGTCATTGAATTGAGTTCTGTGGAAGATATCACTTCACTAACTTTTGGCTTCAATGAGCTCATGTTTGGAATCTGTCCTCACCCTCTAACAAAGGCTTTTCTCATGAAGAGTTTGTGTTAGTTACATTTATCCAGGATTTAAAGGAGTCTGGTTTATATTTTCAGAGAAGATCTGATTACATATGTATTTGGTGGACTCTGCCTTTGGGTAGATTTGACTGAGCTGCTGTTGTCTCAAAGTTCTCCTAAAAGCTTTTTATTGAGCATTGTTCTCTGTAGGACAGTAATGGTGATCCTTGGGTTTATTTCTGCAGGGGAGCAACGTGATGGAGGACCAAGACCTGAGGGAGATTGGAATCACAGATCCGAGCCACAGAAAGAAGATCCTGCATGCAGCACGCTCGTTCCCAAAGGTGATGAATCACTGGTTCCTGCTACGCACAGCAACACATTGTTTCTAATGGAAACGGGCCGTTACTGCTGACGTTTTAATGTTAGAATCTTAAAACTAGAATTGTTTCCATCTTTGTCATCTCTTTCCACCTGTAAAAAATATCCTGCCCTACCATAGTTCTTACTGCCTGCTATCAAAATATGGGCAATGATGATTTAGTGTGTATGTGCATTTGTCTTTAGTGTTAGCAAAATATCTTGTATACCAATGGACATATTTTATTGATTCTCGTGAGATAACCTCTACAACTGATGAAATTTTGAACACAATTTAAGATGTCTGCCACAGCTAAGCAACATTACCCAACCTATAAATGGCTAAGTCAGTTAGTTTTACAGCCAGCCATCCATCCATCCATCCATCCATCCATCCATCCATTATCTTTTACCCACTTCTTCCATTTTGGGTCACGGGGGTTGCCGGTGCCCATGTCCAGCAATCACTGTGCGAGGGGCGGGGTTCACCCTGGACATGTCGCAAGTGTTTTACAGGCACTGAGCTAAAATTTAGCGTGGTATTTGCTGAGAGTAATCCATAACACATACCGTATTTTCCAGCGTATAAGTCACTCCGGAGTATAAGTCTCATCAGTCAAAAAAAGCATCATGAAGAGGAAAAAAAACATATAAGTTGTTTTGGCGTATAAGTTGCGTTTATTATGTGTCACCACTGACCTGTCGAGTTTATTAGGCGTTTATTTAATGGTCAAAACATCCTGGGCGGCGCAGCTACATCCATCCATCGCAGCCGAAGCTGCTAGCTCTCCAGCGTTTCTCCGCCTGCACCAGCTGAGTGAAGCGAGTGCACACGGGAGGACCCGCTGTTGCAGTTCGTAGAACTTTAACAAGATCAACACTATGTTTGCTCAACATTATAACAAAGGTGTGTCTCATTTTAACTTAAAAAAAACCCCTGCCACTTATACGCCGGAAAATACGGTACTTCACGCTTTAATAAATCAGACTAAGTGTTGGATTACTGCATGAGGTTATCTTATTCACTGTCATTTTATAAAGTTTAACCAACCATAATGGCTATGACTCAGTCCCTTGTCAGCATCAGATGATCTTAGGTTAAAACTCGTGAACAAAAGATGGCGGGCGATATGCAGTTTTTTCAAGAAATACCAAACCTTTAACCGCATACGTTTTTAAGCAAACCTGAAACATTTTGTAAAACTTTTACATTAGTTCACAGTCACCACTGAATATTTTCAGAGTTCTGAGTTCATGTGCAACTGATCAGTCACTTTATTTCTCTGAGATTTTAGTTTGTGACTCTTATTTATGATTGAACCAGTGGACTGAAGTGCAGGGTGACATCAAAACACATCAGTCTTTACCAATTTTGCTGTAAAATATTTAATTCCTGCCTATTTTGATTAATGTTTTGTGTTGACTAACCCATCAGGAACAGATATATCTATGATGTCACCATTTGTAGGTGGAGTTATTGGCTTATTGAATTATCTGAAATCGTTTTGTTTTGTGTCCTGTGTATGAATAAAGAAACATTCCTTATGTAGCTTGAAACTTGTGCAAGTGGCGAGTTTTTTAAGGAAAATCACTCAACCGTTAAGAAAAAGAGTTACAGAGAGCGAAGTAAAAAGTGGCCCAGTTGTAATTGATAAAATGTTCTCCTCCAGGTGAAAGCTTTGGGATGTGACGGCAGCAGCTCTCTGTCCTCCTGGCTGGAGAATCTGGGTCTCCATGAGTACTTGCACAGCTTCCTGGCCAGCGGCTACCGCACTCTGGACTGTGTGAAGAACCTGTGGGAGCTGGAGATCGTCAATGTGAGTCACAGCGACGTTAACGTGGGTTGTGAGGAGTATCGGAGGGTGAAATTACTTTCAAAGTCTGTTCAAAATGTCTGTTTGACAGCTCTGAATATGAATACACAAAGATGGCTCCAATACATGATTGTAGGACGGAAGAAACATTCACTTTGGGAGAAACTCAGTTATTTGTAAAAAACATACTCTGAATATTCAACATCAAAGTTCTGGGAAACATCTTCTCTCTTTATATTTCAGTGTAATGTCGCCTTTTCCTCTCAGTGTTCTAAAAATGCTCTATCAAAGAATGATGATAATTTAGAGAAAGTGCTGAGCGCTGAATGACTCTGCTTCAACTTGCTGAAGAAGCTGAAACCGAATTGTTAAAATAAAATATAAAACATAACACTAGCTAAAAGTAGCCATACAGTAACTAGAAGTTAATAGTAGCAAAAGGCAAGGTAAATGAAGAACAAGTGGTAGCTAAAACAGCAAAATGTTGGCAAAAATTAGCAAAACATGACGAAAATGTAACAAAAGGCTAGCTAAAAGCTAAATGTAGAACAAGGCTGTCTAAAAGCTAAAAGTAGCAAAATACTGGGCAAAAACAGCAAAATGTTAGGCTAAAAGTATCGTTAGGCTAAAAGTATCGTTAGGCTAAAAGTATCCAAAGACTAGCTA